CATTCAATAACGAGAGGGTCGTCATGCGGCCCCCTTATTCCTCCTAGATCCTCTTCAGTGATGACAATCTCAGGAAATGTATATTTGGACGGTCGTTCTTGGTGAACGGAATTTACATCTAACCGCCTTATATTATCTTTGTTGCCCCTAATAGTGGGGCCGCCTCCTGAGAAGCCGCCTGCAATGGTGTAGACGACTGCATCATCTGTATCGGAACTGTCGGCCTGTTGATTCTTTTTGGCCGACTGCTTTTTTGAGGAAGTATTCCCCGTAGATTTCTTGACATAAGTGTCAAGATCACCTTGATCAGCCAAGCGGTCTAGGTACCGCATGAGACTAATGCAGTCGTTGGTGTGATGACCAATGTCATCATGATAAGCACAGATTTTGTCTTGGTTCCGGTTGCTCGCAGAACCCTTCATGGGGAGCGGTTTCTCAATTGAGAGCCGTCCCTTTATTTCTTTTAGGATAAACTGGTTATCCTTGTTAAACACATACTTTGGGGAGTATGGTTTGAATTCCTTTTTCTTCTTGGCCGGCTGTTTAGAGGAATCAGCCGCCCAGACCCCTTTTCTTTTTTCATCTTTGTTGGACGACTGTTTCTGTCGTCCTTCTCTATTGTCGAACCTCTTCCCGTCCGACTGTTTCATTGTACACAGATCAGTCGCCTGTATATAGGCTTCTGCTTCAATCAAGGCCTCTTGAAGAGTCGCCACCCTTTTTCGAACTAAATCAAATTTGAAGGTAGACCCGTCTTTGAGACCTCTAAAAAAGTCAGTATAAGCTACCTCATCCGGTAACCCTTGAATCTGTATTCTCATCAGGTTGAACCGCCTGATGTAGGAACGAAGCCCCTCCTTTTCACCCTGCTGAATTGTTCCCAAATCAAGGGTCGTTTTCTTCGCAGGGATGTTCATTGCAAAGTTGGAGGCAAATAAGTAAGCAAGCGTCCTGAAACTGTTTACACAACCAGTCGGCAGGTTGCCGAACCATTGCTGTGCAATTCCCTTGAGAGTTGCTGGGAAACACTTGCACCAAGTGGGATCATCCAACCCTTGAAGGTACATCAGGTTGGTGAATGCCATCAGATGGTCTTCCGGGTTAGTAGTGCCATCATAGGCGCCTACTAAAACATTTTTTACTTTGGCCGGCTGAGCGGCTTCAGTAATTTCCTTGGAGAAGGCCGACGGCTGTTCACCAAGTCTAAGCAGCCGTAGCTGCCAGTCCATAGGTTGGACGTTTTTTGCTGCAGGTCCACCAAATGGAGGTGGCTGCATAAAATATTGTTGTTGCGGCACAAATGGCAAATTTGGTACCGCCTGCGCACTATGAAAGCCAGACTGTCGGGAGGTGCCGCCTGACTGACTCTCATGGTACGACTGAGTTGGCCTCATCGAGGCATTTCGCAAACTGTCCTGAAAATTTGAAGTAGAAGCCGACTCTGATAATCGGTCACTCTTCTTCTGCTCTAGCAGGTGCCGAGCATCTGTGAACGTTTGCTTTGACCCATCCGCCTGAATATGACGAACCGGTTTCCTATTTCCCGTAGGATAACGGAGTTTTGTGAAATCAAGAGCAGACGGCTCCCGCTTCTTAGATTTAGGATGGGGAGTCGCCTCTCGCCCTTGAACTGGCTTCCTCTTCAGTGAAGTGGAAGGTTTTTTGGCCGCCTGCTCTTTGACTGAAGCAGGCGGTTTTTTGTTGATCAACTCTTGGATCTCTCCCTTGAATCCCCTCATGAAGGTCATGAGTTCGTTCCTTGTGATGGGAGCAGACCCATCAGTCGGCTGTTGCCGAGCAAGCGGTGCGCCTGCTGGCTCGCTTCCTGTTTGAAGATACTCCCGTTCCCTTATTTCAGTATGACGGGTACGGCGGGCCCTTAGGGTCCCGTCTGGAGCTGTATGAGTTTCAACTTCAAATTCACTTTCGGTATCATGGTCCGACTGAACTTGAGGGTCGTCTAGGGGACGCCTCTCTTCTGGGGTCGGTACAGACTTGGATGCCATCTCTGAAGTACTCTCCCCACAGACGGCGCCAAATGTTTTGGGGTTTTCTGATGTCCTGCGGGAGAGCTACAATTCCGAGACTGGAACCGGACGCCTGTACCTGCAAAATAACGGAGACTCCTGAGAGCTCCGCCTCCAACGGTCAAGTTAGTACCTGATTAAGGAGTAATTAATACAGAAATTAAAGTAATAAGGTCTCTCTAGGTGAGAGTATCTAATGTAGGTAATCTGCTTTGCTAGCGAGATCAGCCGGTTATTAGTGTGTTCCGTAAATTATTCCGTCCCCTGATTAATGAGGATTAATCAGGTATTTATAGCCTTGGGAAGCGTGCAACTCTCTAGGTTTAAGGTAAACCTAGGGCCGATCGGGCTTCTAGACTGAAATGGGCCTTGACGGCCGGTTGTCCCATTTGGCATGGGTGGACACGTGGCGGAACCTGGTTGGTCCACTTGTCAAACGGCGCTTGGTGGATAAAAATCCCCTAATCACGTATGGTGCGAGGCAAGGGGGCCAGCATGCGTGGCTTGCTAGCAGCACGCATGCTGGCTATGCGAGCATGTACGAGAGGTGCAGCGGGGATGCGTGTGGTGCGTGGGATGCTAGGGCCAGCGCCAGCACAATTGATGGGAGATTGGAATTAAATAAATTGTTGATTTTTACCAACTTTCCCACATTGATGGGAGATTGGAAAATCAAGGGTGCATTTCCCTATAAATACCAAAGGTATGGTATTGGGAAATACACAACCCTGAGTGGAATTAAAAAGGCAACTCTTGTAATTAGAGTAAACCTTTGATTCGTAAAACTCATAGTTTTGTTTTGTCTGGGTCTTGACTAACCTTCAAGACTTAGGACACTCGGGGTGGGTCGAGGGTACGATCCGTCGGAGATCTCGTAGTTTCGGGATTTTGAAGTAAGAGCTCTTCGGAGCGAACCACGCAACAAAGGTATAATTCTTGTTCTTAATCATGTTTGATTAAGTTTATTATGCTTGTTAATTGCTTTAATTAAGGGGGCGGGTCTTGGGGGTTTCCTTTCGCGTAGTGTCAGGTCACTACGAAACCCTACATGAAGATGGGGTGGGCATTTGATAAAGCGTCCATACCTGGCAAAATAAAAACAAAACCCCATATTTCAGTACCTTCAAACCCCAGTAATGGCGAAATGAGGAAAATCAAGACAAAAAACAGGAAAATACCAGACATAATATAGCACATGCAGAAAAATAAGCATGATCAGCCAATTCCGTAGACAATTCCCCCAAAATAATTTCTAAAGTCTTGATCAGCCACCCACAACAACAAAGAACCATTAAAAAAAATAAAAAAAATTATATAAAAAAAAATTGGCCGAAAATCAAAAGCCCCATAATTCAGTACCTTCAATCCCATTTATGACGAAATGAGGAAGATCATGACAAAAAACAGGAAAATACCGTACACAATATAGCACATGTAGAGAAATAAGTAAAACCAAAATATATATAAAAAAAAAAAACAAAAACAAACCCCATAATTTAGTACCCCAAAACCATTAATGGAGAATTGAGGAGGAACAAAAAATAGGAATATACCTTCAGGAGAATTTAGTTTTTGTAGTTCGTCTTGATTAGATTCTCTAGCACAATCCCACATCAATGGCGATGTGTGAAGTGGGAAGGCAGAGGTTTTTTTCTCTTTGAAAGAAGTATGTTCTTTTCTGAAAAGTGAATTGGCGAGGAAGACGAAATAAAAAGGGGGATGGAATATGGAAAGCCATTAACCTTTCCAATTCTCGCGTCAATCTGCTGATGGAAATGATGCCGTTTCGATTTTCGATGCCAACTTTTTATTTATTTTTTTATTTTTATAAAATATTTCCATTTACTTTTTTATTTTTATTTTTAAAACCTTTCCATATACTTTGGTTTTTTTTTCTTAAGAGTTTGACAATTAGATTTTCATAATTAGATTTTCGATGCTAGCTTTACTTTTTTTTTTAAAATTTTGTTTTTTTAATCTTTCCATTTTTTTTTATTTATTTATTTTTAAAACCTTTCCATATTCTTTGGTTTTTTTGTCTTAAGAGTTTGATAATTAGGTAACCTTTTCTAAGATTTGTCCCATTTGTCAGATTTAAGCTAAAGGAAGGATTAGTATCGTAGGGTATACTAAGATCATCAACGACAATCCCAAATTTAAGTCATGTAAGAAGTAGTAATCATAAATTAATACAGAGTATTTCTTTATTTATTACTTCATACAAAGTATTACTTTCTTGTTCAAATTGGCATTAAGATTTCATTCTTGTTACGTAAAGTAATCTTATGTAAACTTGCCTAAGGGGGAGATTATTAAATATTCGGGAAGTTGTTAGATTAAATCTTTTAAAACACATGAATGATTCATGTAAAGGAATTGATATATTTATATTGTAACATTTGCATTTTGATACGTGCATAGGAAGACGTTGAATCACTTTCCTATTAAATCAAGTAAATAGTTTATATAACAAAGAAATGTAACTAATTGGAATGTGTTAAAGAGTAAGTTTTTTAAATTTTGTGAATTGTTTACACATAGGAATTCATAACTTTATATAGCAGTAATAGCACCATCCACGTTTTGCTTTGTAAAGAAAAATTGGTTGAAAGATGGTTAGGATTAGCGCACGTTCTTCTTTTTAAAATCACATGAATAACATTATCATAAAGGAATTCATATATTGATTTATATCGTGCCGCCCACATTTACATCTCTAAATCACGTGTAGGGTTTACATAAAGAAATACAGTTTTGGAACTAGTATCATTAACATTTGAATACAGTTTTTATATAGGGTCTGTTGTTTTATTAGAATAGAGTATGACAACTTTTCAATTCAAAGCTTTGACTTTTCAACAGATTGTAAAATTGCGAGTTGACTTTTCAACAGATTGTAACACTGCGAGTTAAACTAAAATGTGATTATAAGCATTTGAAACATGTAATAAAAATCATATATGAAATGTTCAAAATAAGTGGCTTCATTCATATATATATATACATATAAAGTTTCAAGGGGGGGTTAGAGTACTAGTACAAATCTCAACGTCTTGAGATCATTTTCAAGGCAGAATAAACTGATTCACTTTTTAAAAACGAGACTTTGAAATTGCAGCGCAAAATGTTGAACTTAAAACGGTTCCTGTTTAACAAAAACATCATTTCATCATAACATAGTACGCTACAAGTTCTGATTCACTTAAACCGATCAAGTTTAAACAGCACATACCATAGTCCTACAAGACACATACTCAGAGTACCAATACAGATCTTCTCACTAGACACAACATCCTTCACCATCAGCAAGCAATATGCACTTGGTACTAGTCTTCACCGTAACTAGAAAGCTATTTCCTACATTCAAATTAAAGAATTAGTGAGTTAATTAAGTAACCTAATAATATGATTTTTTAAACAACATTGAGGGAGTTCAACCTCAAATGCATTAACGGTGCCCATAATACGGTCATTATTCGAGTCATCAGCAGCTATCAGCATGGTCGAATCACCCTTTGAGGATCCCAGAACACCACGGTCCCTCTAAGCAAACCTCCACCCGCGTCATGCCGCCAGGACATAGTTGTGCCTAGTTTTGCTAGAATCCTTTCACAATTGGTGGATGTTGCCCCCACCTCTGTAACTATCATTAGAATTGGGTTATGGGTTGCAACAATTTGTTCAAAGTGGTCGACAAAGGATGGCCGGGTGATCCTCTGGACATTCCAAAGCACAACAGCAACTCCAATGTCTAGTTTTTTCTTGTTACCATCTAGCTCCGGACAAAGGCTGACAGATTGGTAGCGGCTTGTCAGGTCATCTGGGATGAACTGGTCCCTAAACACGGAATAATTGATCTCCGTGATAGGAGACCTCACCTAAACAGATGTTGAGCAAATTATGTTAAAGTCCCTGAACTCGGCAAACTTGTTAAACATAGAAAATCATGTCATCATGGTTCAAAGTTATTTTATAAAAAATTATCGGATAATTGGGCCACTTATCATCGTTTATCACAATCATGAGTCATGATAACTAAAGACTCCACCTTGATGGGCCTTAATGTTTTTGTTTATTTATGAATGATGGAAGTGAAACCCATGTTGCAATATGTTATATTATGAGCTTACAGGCTGTGCTTAAGTTTCAAAATTTGTTTTTAAGTCTTTGAAGTAAATCTCAAAGCCTTGACTCTGATAATTTAATTAGTTTATTACGCCTTGAAACTAATTTCAAGACCTTGAGATTTATAATTTTCGAAAAGTTCCATCACCCTATTGATCCTTCGATAACTTTAATGTTATTTAAAAACTTGAAATTATCATGATTAACTTAAAAATAACTTAAAAATTATCATGACTAACTTAATTGAAAATATATCATCATTAACTTAGCATTGAAAAATTACTCAACCAACAATAGAATTAATCAAGCAACCCCACTACAATTAGCTAAATTAGTCTAGCTACTTCGAAGGTCGAACTACCATCCAAACTTAAATGTTATATTTTTCTCAAAACCCCAATAATCGATAATGGAACAAAAATTGGTATCAAGTAAATTAACTTAAATTTACGTCTCAACAACAAAAGATTAAATTTGGTCATATTACAAGAAAAAATTACGATAAAATTAGACGAGACGAGGGTACGTATTTTACCTGCAAGAACAGAACATCATTCGTGTAGCTGCTGAATTCCGTTTTGAAGCCAGCCACTCCAAGGGAGTATATAGGGCCATTCGTTGGTATTATTGGCTTCGAGTCTATCTTGTCCATCAACAATTTCGAAACGATTTTGGTTATACCCTCATACTCGACATTATCATCCTTTTCCATCTCACGAATGGCAGCTTGCACCTTCGATTTACCAACGACATCAGCAATGTTGGGTAAGTGAGCCGGAAAAATCTCACCAGCCTCATTGACCATCATCAACCTGTCCATGCGGTGCTGCTCTTGTTTAGGGTTGGCGACAATTTTCCTCAGAATATCGTATTCAACGACATGCAAGGTCAATTTTCCGCTTTGGCTATGAAAATAGACATAGTCATTGAAGTTCATTTCTTGTACAGGGTTCGTGTTGTACTTGAAACAGTGTTTGGCGATATCAATCGCCATAGCCGCGAAGAACCCAGGTGGGTAAGGCACTTCTTTGTTAGGTTCCATGGTGGGAATGAAGAAAAGAGAAAAGAGGGTAAGGTGTTTCTACGTCCGTCTAACCAAATAAATAAATATTTCTACAAGAAGTAAGGTCATAGGGGCCAAACATGTCACGACAATAGAAGCTAGCAAAAGACAACTTTCTGATGGTTCACTGCTCATTGTCAAATTACTGATTGAATAGTACCATAAGTTGGATAAGTTTAGTGGTGTTCAACACTCCGTAGCACGTCCTTCGACACTTTATTACCATTATTACCATTCTCATAGAAAATAGTACAACAGCAGTCCGAATGACATGCTTACTTCCCATGACTTTTGGCATTGAGTTGTCATTGTCAACAATATTTGAATCATGAGGAAGTCTGTCATTGCCATTGCATTGTCATTGTCAAAAAGAGTATCACGTGAATTAAGGTGAATTACCATGGTGAATCCATGTCCTTTTACCACACTCATACTTTCAAATATCTCACACACCCATTCGTAAATCGTATCTGCAGTGTTGGTAATGCAATTGTGACATAGAATAATAATTATTGGACGAGCTTAGAAGAATTCAACAATTCACATTGTATATATATTTGGGTTTATAAATTTGGATTTATAACTTGCACTAGAATATGATGGTAATTAAATGATTTACGTTACTAAGTCGGATAATAAAATATATGAGTATAATTTAAGTTAAGGTATTTATTTTTGTAAAAAAATATATAAAGGTTGTTATTCGATCATAGCCCGAACCGTTTTGTTGAAATCAGAAAGAGACCCGAACCTTAATTTCGTGGAAACCAATACTCAAGCAGAAGAATAATATTAATGGAGATACAAAACTGATTGTGTTCACTTGCACACCCACAAACTAAAACTAACGTAATGCACCACTTAAAATGATAAAAGCATAATCAACCATTTTCTATTTTCATGCAACTCTAATTTGACCCAGTAACAACAACTAAATACTCCACTACAACCGTTGACAAACCGTTTCCCGTCTAACCGTTTATTACCCGGATCGTTTAAAACTCGAATAGTATTTAAACCGCTCAACGATAAATAGAAACCGAATCGAACCGATAATTATTTAAACCGAACTGAAACTGTCTCGTAAGACACACTTGAACCAATTTCAAATCATATAGTTGCAAATCATATACTACGTAGTTGACATTACTATTCATATGTATACTCCTCCAACAAGTGTAAACAAAAAATACTCAAGATTTAAAACAATATTATTGGAGCAATTCAATGGAATAGTACAAAATTACAATGCTCAAGATAGTTTTGATAAGACCTCTCCTGATGAAAGACAGCAATAAGGGCATAGTACAATATTGGAGTGGTCACTTCTTAAGCCAATTAGACACAAAAGGACTTGATTTTAATCGTGACACTATAATTTAATTTGATTAAGCATTTTGTCCGTCAGCTTCGTTTTCGGGTTCGTCTTCGTCTTCCTCACTATCTGAGGGTTCGAACACGTACTTACATTCCGGAACAACTTCAGGAACCATATCTAATGTGAATATTGGCTGCCAATACAATAAGCTATTAACATTAAGCAAATTTACTTTAATAATAATAATAACGAATAAAAAATAATTCTAATAATAGGAATTAAAAAAAATTACTAGTGTCATTAAGGATAGCTTACGATACAAGTGACCGTAGTAACATAACTGTATAGGGTATCTTGCCGGCTTGTGATGTACGGTTGGACCTTCAAGCCCCAAACCAGTAGCACCCCTCCGAGACTGGAACTAGGCCCAATTGCTTCAATCCGATAATTACCAACCATTTTTCTTTGTACGAAATTCAACAGAGACCTGCTGCCCCTGACCTCTGTGATTATCACTAGCATCGGTGAGTACCTGTCGTGGAGCTCCTTAAAGTATTCGTTGAAGGACGGCCGGTGGATACTCCGTGCGTTCCAAACAACCACTAACCTCCCTTTGTTAAATTTTAGATTATTATCTAAGATGTCATTTGTGTTGGCCTTAATACCCACCGTGAAGTACCTCGTACCACTGTTACAAGTTACATCAGAGTGCACCATGACTATAAGTGCTGAGAATGGAGTGTGAGCTTCCATCACATGGACCCCAACCTTATTTTCCCCAAGTAAAATTCACGAGTAGTGTTGGGGAGTGCAAAAGTTGGCGTTTGGTTTAGATCGACAAATGCTTTCAGATAAAATATAGGAATCAATTACTTGGGAATGTAGCGATGTGTTGAAGGGCAAGCACGTCTGCAAAACCATTTCATGAACACTACGGCACCCCTATGCAAATAAGCAGCAGCATCATCAATCAAGGGCATGTATGCCGGTTGTACTTCCCGGGTTGTTAAATTAAGCATCACGCGGAAAGGGGTGCCGTAAGTAGACCCAATTTCCGGATTGGAACACAGTTCAAAGTGCAACTCGTACACAGGGAGTTGAACTCGTTTAAATATGAGTGGCTGTAAAAGTATTCGGTGTGGTTGAACTCCATCTCCGAGACACCTTCAAATTTCACTTGAGAGAATTACACAATTGGGTGTCGAGGGTGGTGACAGATTCGCCGGTTTGATGAATGTAGTTCCCGGTTACGAAGCTGAAGCTAAATTAATTTGTTTTTCGAATTTCTGGATGCCATTGTGCGGTTGTTTCCGGCATGAACGTACAGAGTACTAAATTGATTGAAATACAGATAAATTGATTTGTATTACGGACGTGGCTTTTTTACAATTATTTTTTAAAATATTTTATTTACGAAATATTTATTAACAAATAATTATTAAATTATTGCATAACCTTAGTATGATTTAATAATATCATTTGTAACTACTCCGTAATTGTTAACAAACGAATTTTCTATGAATTGAGGAAAAAATAAGGATCCTTTAATATCATTCCATCCATGAAGAAATTATGATCAACTTAAAAAATAGAAAGTCTACTATCAAATTTTATTTTGAAAAAATTTAAAGTTTATTTCGATCTAGTAGATTAGATAAATCTAACAACGTTACTTGGATGACGACGAGGTAAAGTAACTAACAACGTTGCTTCGTGCAACTCGGAGCGAATCAACAATTGTCTAATACCGTTACTTCGATCAACTTGGATAATAGAATCAACTAGAAGAGCAATGAATGGAACATCGATACTTCGATCAACTTGCACAATATAATCAAGCAAAGGAGCAATGAATGGAACATCGATACTTCGATCAACTATAATTACAATAACTGGTTTGAGGTTACTTTGATCAAATCGACATGTAGACGAACCATAAATCTCACAACGTTAGTTCGATCAAGTAGGAGAAAAAACGTTACTTCGGTAGAAGAACAATAAATGCAACAACGTTACGTTGATCAATTCATAAATCTAACAAAGGAACGTAGTGCTTCAAATCAAGTAGGAGACCAACAATACGATCAAATAGAGAAGAACAGTAGATGGAACAATTGAACTTCGATGATTAACTAGATAGTGGAACAATACATGAACGTCGCTACTTTGATCAACTACTTAGCTGAATTCGATCAACTACAAAGCTATGATTTATACGAAATAATGTCAATTATTAAATGTAAAATTTAGAATATAATGCGGATTACAATTTCCAAAAATTAGTTACATTATTAGATTTGAATAAGAATTTAATCCAACAGAGTATGATCATATTTAAGGGTTTAGGGTTTATGTTGGGTTTTGTAGAGTCCGACTCTACGCGAAAGAGAAACCCGCCCACTAATTAAGGCAACTAAGCATGCAATCACATAATTAAACAATAAACAAGAGAAAGAGAAAAGATATTCTTACCCTTGACACGTGCTTCGCTCGAACCCGAGCTCTTACTTGAGAAGCTAAACCTCACAAGCGCGACGGTCTTCAACGGCTCGTACCCACGAACCCGACCCGAACGGTCTTAGTCCCGAAGGTTAGTCGGGACTTGACCAATAAAAACTAGAGTATTACGAACTTATGGTTTTCTCACTTTTCTAAGGAGATGCCTTTTTAGTTCCATTCAAGTGTTCTTCCCAAATCCCAAAACTTGGGTATTTATAGGGAAATGAACCTTGATTTCCCATTCTCAATCAATGTGGGAGATTTGCAATTTCCATATTTTATTTTAATCAAAAACAAAATAGAAATGCTAAATCAATCAACAAGCTACAAGTGGCAATGGGAGGAGAGGGAGATGGTGAAGATCACCAAGGGAGGGGACCAACCCACCTTGCTTCCCAAGGCAAACACCAACCATTGGTCCCCACACAAAAATCGGTACAGTACACACTCCCACTTGGCTGGCTGGCAGCCTGCCTTGGCTGCCAGCTGGCACCTAGCACCAAGGCTGGGTAGCCGAGCCAGCCAGCTAGCACATCGCCATCCAGCCCGCAATGCATGCGCAGCCAGCAAGCACATAGCCAGCCAGCATGCATGCATCGCTGCTGCTTGGTGCGTGCTACTAGGCGTTAATATGCAAGGCTGCTGCTTACTAGCACAAATGCATTGCCTAGCATGCCCAGCACGATGTTGGCTGCTGCGTGGTGCTGTGCGATGTGCGAGGCTGCTGCTAGCTATGCGCCAGGCCCTAGCACGCTAGCAAGCACGCAAGGCACCATGCCTGCATTGCTTGCGATAGCAAGGCCCAGCCAGCCTAGCATGCTGATGGCCTTGCGATGCTTGCAAGCTAGCGAAGGGCTTGGCCCAACCATGCACAGCCACACCACACGCATGCACGCATCTTGCGATGCTTGTGCCATGCGATGTGCTTGTGCTAGGGGATGCTAGACACACATTGCTTGGGACCTTGCCTAGCCTAGCACTCACATGGTTAGGCGAATGCGAGGCTACGGCTAGGCTCGGACTTGTTGCTTGTTTAATTCCACGTCTCGTCGAATTCTAAATTCGACTCGACTTGCGACGCTCGGTCTCGACGCTCTAAGCTCGATATCCGACGTCTTTGTTTGTAATACTCCGATGACTCATCTAATCCTTCGGATTGATTCGTCGTCTTGGATCGGTTGTTCGACTGGGTTCAACCCGAAGGGTTCAGTCAAGATTAAGCTGTAATATTAATTGTACATTAATATTACTGATCGGAAGCGGCTTCCACCTAGGCATTCCGATCACTTGACCTCACTGAAGAATTAGCTTTCTAATAATTCTGAATCCTCTATTAGA